TCATTGCCGCAGCTGACGCACCGGTGCGCTTTTCAGAAAATCCGCGACCACTAAAATCCCAATTTTTCGAGGAAACGTCGACGTCCGGACTTGTTGAAGTGCAACGATAATGCTGGGGTAAGAGTCCTAAGTAATGAGATTGTCTGGGACATCGTCACTTTCATTCATTTTAACTATAGTCACGATAATATGAAGATGTAACATTTGATATAATTTATAATAAATTTGTTACAGTTTGATATAAATAATCGTGGTTACAATAATATGAAAATATGTATAACATTTGATAGAATTTGTAATATTAATTTGATATAGTTTGATATAAGTAACCATGATCAAAATAATATGAAAATATAACATTTGATATAATGTAACATGATATAACATAATTAATATATAATATAACATGATATAAGGTAATTAATATATAATACAACATAATATAAGGTAATTAATATATAATATACCATAATATAATATAATTAATATATAATATAACATAANTAATATGAAGATGTAACATTTGATATAATTTATAATAAATTTGTTACAGTTTGATATAAATAATCGTGGTTACAATAATATGAAAATATGTATAACATTTGATAGAATTTGTAATATTAATTTGATATAGTTTGATATAAGTAACCATGATCAAAATAATATGAAAATATAACATTTGATATAATGTAACATGATATAACATAATTAATATATAATATAACATGATATAAGGTAATTAATATATAATACAACATAATATAAGGTAATTAATATATAAATATAATATAACATAATATAACACAATTTTAATATAACGTTTAATATTATATCAATAGAATAAAATCATTGCAGTACTATATTGCTTTACTGTAGGTTCTAACAAAATTATTTAAAGGTAATTGCGTATTCATACTCTATGTTTAATACAATCTATTATATATATATTACTATTTGAATTTACGTTGGATAGATTATCGGGAAGGCAACCAACTATAAATATATCCAAAAATGCATGAGAAACAAATTAGAAATATTATATATAATAGCTAGCAGCTATTTCAATAAAATAAGAAAATCAAATAAAATAGACTAGAATAAAACGCGACAAAATGAATGAATAAAATACATTAAAAATATAATAGAAAAATGAAATACATTAAAATAGAACTCAACTAAAGTGCAATAAATCAAGCAGAGATCGTAAACCGTACCGATTCCATAAAAGACATCGGTACAAGGGTAAATCTGATTTGAACTTTGAACACAGTCTGCCAGCAATTGAACACAGTCTGCCACTACGTCGTCGTCCCCTTGTGAACGCAGAAAATCGTCAGTCCGGTTGTTACAATGCACGATTAAGGGCCGGTTTCGGGCATTTCCCGGCGAGGTACAATTTCGAGGCGTATTAAAGAGGCAAAGCAGGTTCCCGACGATTGCGTTTTCCCATCCGTTGCGTTCTCGGCGCACACGTGGCGGGACACGCGTAGCGCTGCATATACATATACATATACATACATATATATATAATAATGTAATCGCGGTCTGCGGGGCCCGATCTCCGAACACAGTCAAAGGCGGTCTACGCGCGCTGCGCCCTCGTCCGTTGAAATTTCGCGAGCCTTCAGGATGCGGGGTGTAACGTCAGCTTAAATCCGTAACAGTTCTAAACATCACCGGCCAGCTTACGGTAATTCCATGCCGGGTCTAATGGGAGTAGCCGCGTTCCTCTGGAACGCGGGACCACAAAGTCGGCTGGCATCTTACCGCACTGGTTCCAGGATGCGACGTTTTAACGATACCACGGCACCGGGTTTCCTCGCTGTCGAGAGAGAGAGAGAGAGAGAGAGAGAGAGAGAGAGAGAAAGAGAGAGAAAGAGAGAGAGAAAGAGAGAAAGAGAGAGAGAAAGAGAGAAACAGAGAGAGAGAGAAACAGAGAGAGAGAGAGAGAAAGAGAGAGAAAGACAGAGAGAGAAAGAGAGAGAGAGAAAGAGAGAGAGAGAAAGCCAGAGAGAGAAACAGAGAGAGAGAGAGAGAGAAAGACAGAGAGAAACAGAGAGAGAGAGAGAGAGAGAGAGAGGAAGAGAAAGAGAGAGAGAGAGAGAGAGAGAGAGAGAGAGAGAGAGATCCGTCGGATCTCGTGGCGGTCTGATTCTCGGCGGCGGGCCGAGCCGCGAGCTAAAACGCTCGCTCGAACCGACTACGACAAAAGCGGCTGTCCGTCAGGAGTCTGCGGCCTGGCTCGGATAAACGTTCCGGACGATCAAAGGAGAAGCGATCCCCGACCAAAAACCGGAGCCGCGGAACAAGGAATCCCCGCGACCACGCGTTTTTGCCGGGCCCACGCTCTCGGGGACAAGGCTGCGCCTTTTCGTTTCATTCTCCAACGGCGGAATCGATTTCGCGAACATCGGCCATCTAGGATTGTCCGCGTCCAGTGAACATTTTCTCTGAACAAATTAATCTGACTGCGGATCGTTATGCGAGGTAAATAATTTTCGAGACGATTGCGAGACACGGAAGTGAAATCGAGGTAAGCTGTTACGTTAACACGTTGACTGACGAGCCTATTTCTGGGAGGAAACCTGTTCTGGGCGCCATCATTTCTTACGTTACTAGTAATAATGAGTAAGTAATAATAATAATAATAGTAATAATAGTAATAAAAGTAGTAGCAGTAAAATAGTACCAATAGTAATAATATTAATAAAAGTAGTAGCAGTAAAATAGTAATAATAGTAATAAAAGTAGTAGTAGTAAAAGAGTAATAATAGTAATAATAGTAATAATAGTAATAATAGTAATAGTAATAGTAATAATAG